GAATTATCTTGCAATAACAATTGAGATTCTTCATCTGAAAATCATCATATGCTACAATACTCCTTCACCAATGAAAATAATACAAAGATTTGTAACTAATGGAACTAGCTAAAACAATAATGGAATAGATTGTCAAACAACTATATTATATTTCAATGTGAATTAATTACTCATATAGAAATAAACATTACTTGCTCATCGAGATGGATTGAACTTCATGATCTTTTCTTTCACTTTTTTTCAATGACAAACATATCAACAATGCTTACTTTCCAACACACGTGCAATCAAAGTATGTTCTTCACATTATCATCATCATCAAACAAACTCACTTTTTTTAATGGGCGCAATATAACATAAGATAAATAATTGTGAATTTACATCCAACCACCTCGTACCAGAAGGGTTTAAAATCCGACGTGTACAGAGAAGACAAACAATTAATTATTACAAGAACCACTCCCTAACAATAATAAAATAATCAAATGAGCTGGATAAAATGAAACATCAAAGTGACAAGCACAAACTAATATCAAATAGTGATGATAGAGGTATTGTATGTTAGGTATGTTGTGAAGGCTTGGATTTCAGATTCTAGCAATTCTATTTTGATCCGACAATCATGTTTTGGTCAAAGTACATATGCTTGCAGTTTATTTATTTATGCAATCATACTCCTTGTTTTATATATTGAGATAATATGATTTGTGGTGTCTCAAACAGAAAGATCATATAGAGGTTTCTTGTAAGACTAAATTATTTGATCATAGTCTAGATATGCATTGAGACCCCTCTTGGAAAAAGGTTGTAGTGTAAGTCCAGATTCAGTTGGTCTTTGATTGAAGGATTACACTAGTACTTATGTTAAGTATTGAACAGGACCACATAAGGATAAGATTATGAGACTCACTGACCATTGTTGTAATCTAGACCTTCGGTAATTGATGCGTACTCTTAACTCGTAAGATAATATAAAACGAGCACATATATATTCATTACTGACTTATTTGATTTACCAAGGTTGATTCCTATTCCGTTAGGATGACATACTCAGTATTTTGGTAAATGAAGATGTTTATATGATGTGCTGTTATAAATTATTTAGGGTCACTATGTCTCAGTGCGGCTGGATTGATGACGTCCCCGAAATGAGCTCAGTAAGGAATATTATGTGACAGATGTGTATTCGACATAATGATTAAGGATCTGAGTGATACTAGTTTTGGAAATGAATAAGAAGTCAATTTTATTTTGTCAGTAATTTTTAATCAATCAACGGACGTTATATCTTAAACATAGGGAGGTAAATCGGTCAATTAATCAAGTGGAGGTTCGAATTTATTGAATAAATTAGAGCTAAATGTTATAATCAGTCAATTAATTTTCCGGCGATCCACGACGACCCCCTGAAATCCAAGGACACCTCCAGACTCCTCATGCCGCCGCACACCCGACAACGTTCACTATCTTCTAAATCGGCAATTCCCAAAAACCCATTTTTCGGCGACCACTCAAGTTCAAGCTCTCACCGGCCACTGGAAAAGGCGCTTCTGCCTCATCATCACAAATAAAAATTTATCTTTTAATTAGTTTTTATAATTTTTATAATTCATTTAGTTTTTTAATTTTTATAAAAATTATAATTTTTTTAATTTTATATTTTATTTATATAATTTTTATAATCTATTTAGTTTTTAATTTTTATAACTTTAATTAGTTTTTATAATAAAAATTTATAATTTATAATTTGTTATAATAATTATAACAAATAAATATTTATAATTTCTTTATAACCAATTTTTTTTATAAGTTTTCTAATTTATATAATAAAACAATTTTTGATCATCAGAAAAAAAAATTATCGTCAGTCCGCCGATCGCGGACGTGCACGGTCGCGTCCTACCGGCGATTGCGGCCGACACCGTGCACGTCCTGCTTTGCTGGTCGGGAGACGACGATTTTTTTTCTTTTTTTTACTTTTTAGAAAAAAATGTGCGGGGCAAAACTTTCCAAGGGGGATGGTAGTAAAAAGAGGGGCGGTATTTAGCAATTCAGTAAAAATAACAAGCAATGAATTGGAAGTGTCAAATATGTAGGTAGTCTAAAAGCAATAAACCCTAGCCCCAAATCCGTCGCCCCCAATTTCCATCACTCTCTCCCAATTTTCCCGTCCTATTGCCTTCCTCGGTGACGATAAGAATCCGACCAGTGGTCGTCTCTGACCGCTCGGCCGCCCCTAGCACCGGGAGTCTCCAATGTCCCTGCAGGTGTCGCGATTGGTGGCCTTCCTCCGTCGCCGGCGTGTTTGCGTCGTGTGGTGGCGTTCCCTCGGTGTGAGTCGGATGGTCTCTCCTCGGTCGCCGACTGTCTTCGATTGGAGGTGGGTAACCCTCGACCTTCTTCTGCCTGGCAATTCAGAGGTGTTCCGGGTCGGCTTCGCTGTTCACGACTGGGCTTCCGGTGGTTTTGGGCTATGGTCATCAGCGTTTTGCAGTGGTGCTGGGAGGCGCGTGGGCTGGGGTTCGGAGCGGGACTCCAGATGTTGTGGCGGTTCCTGTTGGTTGAGAGACCGAGCCATCCTCACCCTCCTCTGTTCGACTAGTGGTGTTAGGCGGCGAGGGTCCTAGTCACTCCAGCCAGCGGCGGATGCAGAAATGTTTATCAGACCGGGCAATATATAATAAAAAAGTACTCAAAATTTTTTATGTCGTGTTTATTTCATACGAATTTACCTTCTGCAATAAAATTCCCATTCACATTCTTATTCTCTCATTTTTTGGAGTTGTTTCGGTCGTGTTTGTTTACCAAATTTCTAGAAAAAAACTACAAAAAAATCTATCTTAATTCAAAATCAAACTCGACTTTTAACTCAATTCCTCTATCCTCAATATTATCAATATAACCAAAATATCAGTCAACTATTCTTACACATTACATCAATTTTAATTCTCTACTAATCTACTCACATAATTTTAACTACCTAATCATTTCAATCATATATCTCCTACTTTTACATCAAATCATTTTTATTCATTTTATTTTAAATATTATTTTAATACATTTTTAAATTTTCACTAACAACTAATCATATTAACTTTTTTAAATAAACTTTAGTTCACACACAAAAAAAAAGATTTTTTTCTAGTTTTTTATAAAGAAACACGGCCTTACTTGGCCTGACCAAATCCATAGCATTGACAATATCCTGATCATCCCTTTATGATTCTAGTGATAATTTATTCGAGAAGTCTAAAATTTATCTCATTGCAAGAAGACAAAATATGAAATCAAAGGATTGTATCTGCACAAGCAACAAATTACATTGTCCTCTTTGATCAGCAATAGCCCAATCCTCGATTATCATTTCAATAAATTCAATTATAGAAGAGAACATAGAGATAACGTTCGACTTTTTTTTATATAGAATATTCAAAAAATCTTAAATTATTTTTAATATGTCTCGCAAGTTCTCCAAATTTTGCCTTTTCTTCTGAAATATAGATTTGAAAATTATAACTACATATATTGAGCAGCAAAAATCCAGCCTGGGCAGTTGCCCAGGCTGGCCCAAGTGTCAATCCGCCCCTGACTCCAGCTCGTCTAGTGGTGTTAGATGGGTTTGGGCCGGGGCTGGTGTGGGGGCAAATTGTTTTCCTCTTGGTTGGTGATGGGTCGATTCGGGGATTGGTTCGGGGCTCGGAGTTGGTCACTTTATAAGCGTTTGTGCAGTTTCGGTATTAGTATTTCGGGCTTTGAATTTTTCTTGTGTTGATTGTTCACTGCTCTGTTCGATTGTTGGGGAAGGGCTTTTTATGTTTTTTTAGTTTTTTATTGTTCTTGTGATGTTTAGTTTTGTGGTTGTTATTGTGTTTTTGGTCTGGGAGTTGGCCTTAGTCGCGTGGAGGTGTGAACTTATTATTTTGGCGTGGAGGTGTGAACTTATTATTCTGTTGAGACCGCACACTCAGACATTATCCTGTTGGGATCGTATTAGTGTCTTTGTGTTTTTATGTGTTTCTAGAGTATTGCCCTGTTGGGGTCAATTCTAGACGGTCTTTGACTTGTCCTTCCAGTTTTTTCAGTTGTGTATTCAACTTGTGGTTGTATTTTGCACTTCTGTGCGCATTTATATATGGTTTCGAAAAAAAAAAAAAAAAAAATCGAAGTGTCCCAAAAAGTAAGGGCATGCTTGTTTATGGATTTTTTCAATCCAATTTTTTCAACTCAAATATTTAACTCAACTTTAACTCAACCCCACTATCTTTAATATTATTCATACAATTAAATAATAAAAACCAATCATTCTTACACATCACATCAACTTTAATTCATTATTCATCCACTCACATAATTTTAACTACCAATCATTTCCAATCATTTATCTCCTACTTTATATCAAATCAACTTTAATCATTTTTATTTTAAATATTATTTTAATATATTTTTTAAATTCTACTAACAATTAACCACATTACTTTTTCAACTTTAACTATAGTTAAAGAAATGAAATATTTTGGTTGAAAAAATCCATAAACAAGCGCCCCCTAAACTAAATGGAGTCCCTTTCACATTATCTTTTCTTTTCTTTTCAGTTTTCTGCGTAATTGTTTTTATTATTTATTGATTCAGTGACTTGCTCCTCCATTTACTCCCGCCTCACTTCTCCCCCATGTGAAAACCCTCCAACCAAGTCTCTCTCCACACAAAAGATCTATGTGAAAATTGACTCCATACCCGAATTTCCTCATCATAATCGATTTTGTTTTCCTTTTTAATTTTGAAAAAAAATCATTTTATACGAACGAACAAGGGCAACGGTAGGGAGAAACTGTGATGATCACTGGACGCGTGATGTGATTTTGTTTTTGTTTTCTTTTTTTTTTTTTTGT